AACTGGTAGTCTAATCCATGATCTCGAATGACATCACCAAGAGGAGCTGTGTAGGCTGTGAAAAGCAATGGGCCCAATACGGAGCCTTGCGGTACTCCGTATTTTAATTCTTTTGGTTGAGACGAAACGCCGTGTATTGATACTTTTTGACATCTTAATTTTAGATATGATTCGAACCACGCATGAGCACATCCGTTAATTCCAAATCTCGATTTGAGACGTGTGAGTAGAATCTCCTGGTCGATTTTGTCAAAAGCGGCACTTAAATCTAGTAGAATCGGGAAGACACAGTTTTTACCAGCTAATGAAGACACTACATCGTTGTGAACCCTTAAAAGAGCTGTTTCAGTGCTGTGCTTCGTTTTGTAAGCTGATTGAAAAGGTTCCTCCAGTCTGAATTATTGCAGATGGCTACGAAAACGGACGGCTACAATTTTTTCAATTACTTTCGACAGAAAGGACAAATTGGAGACAGGCCTATAGTTTTTTAAGATTTCAGGGTCCAGAGTAGGTTTTTTTAGTAAAGGGTTTACAATAGCTTGTTTCAATATGGGAGATACATGGGGGAAAAGCAATTTTACTGGGGCTCCTAACACCTCAATACATTTCAGCATTGCAAGTTTTGGTGTAATAAGCTGGAATTACATGCTCGTTTTTTTGAATGCCCTTTCATTAGGATGTGGTAGTGCATATTCAACTTAACATCAATCTCGAGTGGGTAGGCGTTCCATAAGTAAGTCTGTCATTGAGTCAAGTGGCGTGGTTTCGATTCCCCGCTTATACGTGACAAGGAGTATGGTCGCCTGTCGAGACTCGTGGGTTTTCTCCAGGTCCTCACACTGCTAAAGACCACTACGCACGGGCGAATTTTTTAAATAAAATTGAACCATATGTTAGTCCCGAAATGACCTAGCTTGTGTCGAGTAGACCCCATCTCTCTCTCTCTGATTGCAAACATCTCAAGTATATTAGATCTAAATACTACCGTTGCCAGTCATTACGTCAGCTATTTGCTCAACCGGAGCTATATGATAAAGTGCTAACATTTTTAAAAGAGACAAACTTTTATTCTCAATTTTAATTGTATATATTTAATCATGTATATTGTTTTAAATATTTATATATGTAAAAGATTTGTTATATTTATTTTTAATTATATATTTTCTGTGATATTTGTTTTTATTTACATATATAAATTCAATTATGTGATATTGTTTTAATTTGTCTCGTTAGATGCACCATATGTTTGGCGCAATATAGCCCGGTTGGAGCTGACGTGCCATTAAACAACATTTCATTTCATTTCATTTCTCTCTGATTGGGTTAGGGGACGAGGGGTGCTACGAGCCTCACAATTACACGGCAAATGTGTTGGAACCCACGAATAGCCACCAAATTTGCTGGAACCAACAAAAGGCCACCAAATTAGAGACAGCGCTTAATTGTCACATTACAGATCATAAATTGTTTTGAGAAGGATATGAAGCAAAATTAATTAGTTTGAATATGCTTTTAGTCCAAATACATCATCAAATCACACATTTTGTACGTGTGAAGGTATCTTTAATGGGGAAATATTCTTTGTACATTATGTATTATACACGCTACCCACATTGGCTTGTTTTTGTGTCCTAATCTGTATGCCCTCAAAACGATGTAGCTGAAAAGTGGACCAGACAGTATATGATACAGAAATTTAATCGTGTAATGAAATAAAAAACAATGGGGTTAACATCCTACCTTTCTTCTCCATCCGGGCTAATGAAGACTGCATACGCCTTGTAGTGTACTATGAAGGAATGTTGTTTGCCCGGACACCGGCGCTACGGACCACTCATATCAAATTCCAACTGTCGATGGCCTTTTTACATGCACTCGAATGTGTACAAGGGACCACGGTTTGTCGTTCCCTTCGAACGACTATACGTTGTCCTTTGACAGCCTCCACCCCCCCCCCCCACCCTGCACCGATGACAATGAGAAAAAACGCCAGAAAATCCCCAAGAACTATCTAAGGCGGCTGTCTCAAACTCGAAATATTTTTGAAGATCTACAAAAAGAAAACTGAAAGAAAACGCCGAATCCGGGTAGAAAACATGACCCCTGAGACAGGACCCCAGAATCGGCGAAAATGCCCCCTCTGTCTGTAGTCGAAAGGCACACGACTCTTCAAACAAATTGCTACGAAAAAAAAATAATTTAATTCAACATTTACAAAGAAAATAACTTTTCATTCAATCGCTGGAGGTCGTCCAGCTGGCAAATGCCATTTTTCTTTTGTAAACTTTGTTTCCAGGGATTGGGGTGGTTAACGATTGTAGGACCACTGTCCGCCATCTATATCAAAAATACTCTTTTTGCGCAAAAAATGCCTATTGCTCGTAATAGTGGTTTCAATGAGGATCCCATTTTCTTATTATTATGTGTTTTACGCCTGTATACACATTTGCAGGGATGGCAAAGAAGAATAGAAGCACCCGATGCAGTCCGTTCACATTTCCCCTCACACATTGCATTGCGTATGCCCATCTTCATTTGTCCAGTTGGTTCATAAATGTGGGACGTTAAACCCTATTTAATTTGTTAATCGTCAGATTTGGAAGACGAAATCATCGTTTCCAGTTTCTATCTAAACCAACAGAACGGGTGTCTAAATCTCATCAACGGCGATTTAAATTTTCGATCCCTTAATCCGCCCCTGTGATAGGATTTCCCCCAAGATTTTCTTACGGTCAAATCGGTTTCTACACTATTGTCTACTAATATTTACAGTATTACTATTTCAGGAGAGGATGTTGAGTTTCTATTGTTTGTTTATTTCGATAAAAAGTAGAAATACAAATTGACTAAAGCGCAGATTCACCAATTAAGTGAGACGTAGCAATTCATGTTGATGAAATATCCCCGGTCGAGTGACGTCAGAGCGATATTTTCCCGCGAGCGTCTCCCGTACATAAACGGTAATTTCGCTTACATTTCGATAATCTTTTAGCCTGAATCTTTGAGATGGATATTAAACTATTACAATACAATTGCTAGTAATACATTTAAATAAAATAGTAATTCAGAATCGTATTTTGAAGTGGACTGTCGCTAAAGTCACGTGACCTTAAACCCCTAATATGAGTAATAAAACAGATAGGCTATATTGTGAAGTTTTATAAGTACAAAATTAAAATAACAATGATACAGAGAAATCCCTACGTCTTACTGGGTGAGCCACCGCGTCCCCCGTTAATCATATGCAATTAAAGAAAGTAATTATATCAGATAAAATATACAGTTATATGTCTTATTAAAAACCTTTGATGTCTTCAACTTGACATCTAAGGAAATCCGCTACTCGAGACCATTAATCAGCATGATCTGTAATGCTTAGTATAATATGAGTGTGTGTGGGTGTGTGCTAGTATATATGCCACGTCGAAAGTAACAAATAAAAGGAGGGGGAAGTCGGAGAAGCTTAAAAGTTCATAAACTAAGTTTCAATCTCCTAGTAAAAGACCGGGGTGGAGAGATCTACACAATGACAAAGACATTGATGAACATGTGATTACAGAGCACAAGGTTCATATGCCATATTATGTGCACCAAGTTAATGCAGGGAACGTAGCTCTCCGGGCGAGAGCTGATTTTGTCCGTCAAATTTTCAGCCACAAATAATTGGAATCTTAAACGAGTTTGGGGTATTTTTGCCCCACCCCGCCATTTTGTAGTCGTTAGTAGTCAGCTGTGTTACCACCGCCCCTACTTCTACTATGAAGTCGACACGTGTGCCCCTAACAACGTCGTCAGATGTAGCCAGACCCTCACCCGCCCCCAAGTTTGTATGTCTATGGAGTGGACGTTTTCGTGGTCGTTTTCAAATGAAAGCAAATCCAGAGGCAACGATTGACCCGAGCTGCCGCTCTGTGTATAGGACACGAAGCCGTAGGGTGGCCCATGTATTCTACAGAAATAAAGTCCACCGCTGATAGTTCGAGACTACCACTGAAGCGTACACATTCGCCGTGCCGAGACCAACTTTCTGACAGTATGATACTAAAAATAGTCATGGCACGTGCAATTCTCTACAAATCTATCAACTATTACAGCCGTAAAAAATTTATAGTTGACGATTTTGAATAGCAGTGAAATTAAGCTTCTTGGTTATTACAGCAGATTTAGAAATTACGTTCGTTTCATTTTTTAAATCGCTTTATCATTAACTGTACTGTTAAGAGCGGCATCTTTTGGTTTAGTACAAATAATATCTCTGAATCACTCGGGTTAGACAGGAACATGATACTAGCAGTAGTTTCATTTTACTTTTACAGGGTTCTTAAAACGATTGTTGAGCTACCTAACGTGCTTATTTCTAAATTCAATTTCTTGTTCTAGCTTTCTGTTATGTTTCGTAAAAAAGTAGCCTTGATTATCCCGACCTGTCAATCAGACGTAGAATGGTCAATAGACTGGTTAAGCGAGACTAATTTCAAAACAAGGGCACGTAACCTATCTTTTACTCAAAAGTGTCTGGATGTTATGGACGACACTTGGAACCAGTTTTCAGTCTATTATTTATAGATGATTAATGGTCATAGCTTATTAAGTACAACATGATCATTTATTTAGTGACTATAATTGTGTGAAACTGATTTGAGGCTTGGCATATATATAAATATTGTGGCGTAATTGTCGAGATATATGGAGATATTTATTTATGGTAGGTCACCCTAACGAAGGGTAAGTTGCTGAATGTAAAAACAACAAAGCAGTACATTGGGAAGGGTACATTCTACAGAGCTAAAACAGCCAAAGCCGATTGATCAGAGTAGGCCACGCTGACCTTCCGGCTAGTTGAATCATGGGCCAAAGAAAGGGCTCGCAAGACAAATCCCCACTCAAACATCAGGATTCCACTCCCCACCGACACGAGTCGCAACGCACGACAATCAGGTTGCCCCATTACTGGGATCCATTGTGTCGCCTTTTACGAGACGCAGGACATACGACCAAAGTATAAAGCAACATCAAATATTTTATTTATTAAAATAATACAATAAAATTATAGTAAAAAACAACGTACTGTAATGTTTAACTAAAGCAAAGAATAATTTTATGGATTATGAATATATAAATATTTATTTAGATGTACAAAAAGTGAGGGATATTACACGACAGTTGTGTTTGACATTGCTATTAACCATACAGACGGAATTTGATGTTAGCTGTTAATGTCCCATTTTATTCTGATCTAGGATCCCCATACAGCGATTTTACTGTTCTTTCAGCTTAAATTTATTAGTTTAAACATATTATTCTATTGTATCAACAAAAACAACTTTGGACCAACAAAGAAGAAACGTTATTAAAAATTTACAGAGGTCATGCCCATCAGCAGAAATTGTATAAATAAAATAATGCGGAGTGTGGAGAATTGAAGTATAGGCCTAGCTCAAATGTGAGATTTGTAAATAATCTTTACGTTTTATTGATAGAAAGTGTAAATTATTTTCCTAATATTAGATAGAATAACACCAATTAGTTTGTGATTAACTACATCTAATGACCAAAAAATAAATGTAATGTTTTGTTTCAGAAGCCTTGAACCAAGAGTTCAGTTTGAATAAATCAGCGTTTAAGGAAGTTTCTATTTCATATACGCGGGGTTTAATGCAAATAATAGCAGTATCATTGGCAAATAATCTAGCAGTATCTTCCAAGTCATCTTGGATATCGTTTATGTACAGAAGAAATAAGAATGGGCCCAATACAAAGCCCTAGGGAACACCCGAATTAGGGTCGACAAGTAAGCGTAATTTACAAAAGCAGTTTGATTTCTATCACATATATAACTGGTTAGTAAATACAGAAATGTGCCTTGTAATCCGTAACTAGACCGTTGTCGTTAATTGATGCTTTTCCAGAAAGCTGTTGAAAGTGCGAATATTTGAAAGCAAACTCAATAGTTCACTGCCACTACCAAAGTCGTCAATATATCTTCAACATTTTCTGATAACTTTTCTTACAGGGAGTGTACCTTTAAGGAATAAGGTCATCCATATTATTAATAGCAGCAGTTATCTTTAACCAGAATAATTCCACACTTTCATCATCCCAACCCCATTTGATATAATTATCAACAGATAGTATTTTATGTATGGTTTTTGTTACATTCAGGGCACCAATTTCCCTTAATACAACTACGATCATTAAATCACGCTTTTCATTGATATATTTATTATAGGCAACACTAGCTTCAAATTCACAATAACCGTCTTCGACATATTTATCAGATAAAAATAAAATGACTTTACGACTGGCATCCAAATTAGATATTATCTGATCAATTTTATTTCCCTGTCCATCTCTTTGCGGGATATAAAGTCGCAGACCCATGTTCTCCTCTAATCTAGGGACAAGTTCATCATATATTACGTCATCAAAGTCCGTGTCAGAGGAACTAAGATAGACATCATATTTATAATCTCCGCCACCGTTTAAAAGTCTTTGGTGGCGAATATGTTGAAATCGTGCCATGTACAATATATATCGCAAATTCCATCGATAACGGTAAACAGCAGAAATAGTTAAAAGTAAGAGAAGAATTCCTGCCGATGTAGATATAATAATTACACGAACCTGTTTCGTTATTGCGCATGTACGTTCCGAAAGACGGACTTGTAAGAGTTGCTTCCCTTTAAAAAGAGGTGGAGAATCACAGATGTATTCCTTTGGAAAATGAAGAAAAACATTTCTAATGGAGCTTGTTTTTAGAAAATTGACGAACCAAAGTAATTCACAGGAGCAAGTAAACGGATTCTCAGAAAGATCAATGTATTTCAATTGTTGAAGAAATTGAAGTGAAAATGTATTTGACTCAACTGTGGTTATTTTATTAAATTTTAATTGTATAATCTGGAGATGATTAAAATTATTAAAATAACCTTCCGGTAGATCTTTTATGTTATTATTGTTGAGCCATAATATCTCCAATTTATCAAGATAGTTTGGAATAAAACTTGGAAGAAAAGTTAGCCCACAGTTAGATAGTGACAACGATTTTACGTTAATCAAGTTGCCGAATAAATCATCAAACATTGGATTAGTAGTAAACCCGAAGTGGTTGGAGGATACTCTTAAAGTTTCCAGTTGGCTACAGTATTTAAAAGCATTCAAACTGGTGTGTATATGATTCTTATCAAAATACGTGTTGTCATCATAAATATAAAGTTGCTTTAAGGATGAACTATTAAAAGCAAATTCATCCAAACGTTTTACTTTGCCATTGTATGCAATTGATACAACATTAAGGTTTGGCAAGTTTGAAAATGTGTTGCTTTCTATACGAAAAATAAGGTTATTATTAATTGAAAATGAGGCCAAGGATTTCATACAAGCAAGTTGTTCTGGATACACAGAGGATATGTCGTTATGGTCTAAACGCAATTCCTCAAGATTTGTAAAATATGCATTTTCGTGTACACAAAATTTTGGAAATTCTGAAAGTTTGTTATAAGAAAAATTTAATGTCCTTAATGAAGACGAATAATCAAATGTTACGGTTTTAATATAGGATTTGAGAATAGTTATAGACTGCAGATGTTTTAAAGTTGATAACTTACTATGGTTATATTTTGTCATATCAATATTCCGAATGTACATTGTTTTGATCTTTGAATTGTTCATACTCTCGTCCAGATCTAGATTCAAGGGGGGATGAAAGTGTATATATGATAAATCAAGAGTTTGTAAATCTTTCGTTACCCCAGACAAGCATTGCATCAGCCCCGTCTTTGAGATGGTACTATTTCTAATTGATAATGTTCGTAAAAAATTCAGACCATTAAATGCATTTCGCGTGCAGGTATGTAGTGAATCTGTCTGTAAATGCAGATAGTTCAGTTTCAAGTTGGTAATATTAGTAAAAGTGTGATTATCTATATGTGGTAAATAATTACCAGTAAAATTGAGATACGTTATGTTTTGTTCAAATCTTGGAATATAATTCAGTTTATGTCCTTGATTTAAACAGAACGCTTGGTTTATTTCATTACACTTGCACATATTGTCTCCACACACTGTCCAATTATGTTGATTATGGGATACGAACAAATCTTCCAATCCATCCTCTGCCGTCTCCTTCAAGTGGATATTTCTTTCCTGGCCATAATTTAATGTGATGGTGTTAACAGGATACAAGACCAGTAGTAGACACGCCCACATTAAAGTTTCCATCTGTATCTGAAAGACATAAATAAATAAAAACATACGTCCAGTGAAAATATCAACCACTTTTTATACGTCCACATGCTCGACCCCCTGGGACAGAGCCACGCCCAATGTTTGTGGGTCTTGTGTTTTCACCTACAGACTGCAATTCTTAACAGATCCCTTTGAAACTTTGCATACCTTTTCCCTTATACCCGAGGGATGACCCCCTATTGTTTTTGGGTGATTGCCCACAGCCCAGGGGCAGAGTCATACCCATTTGTTCTTTGTGCCTACAGGCCACGATTCTTAATGTGTTGTCTGTGAACATGGGATATGTATTCCTTAAAGCCTATAGACGACAACTGCATGTGACGAACCCCAGGAACAGAGGGACGCCCAATTTTTGTGTTTATCGTTTACAGGCCGCAATTCTGAATGGACCAACCTGGTACTTGGATAGCCTAAGGGCGTCAACTATTGATTTTGGTGAATGCTCCGACCCCAGAGGCAGAGCCACGCCCAATTTTTGCCTTTAGCGCCCGAAGGCCTCAATTCTGAATGGATTATCTTGGTATACGTATTCCTTATACCTTGGGAGTCACGGTATCTAGTTGGTTAAGACGCTGGCTCGCTAGCCTAGAGGTCGGGTGTTCGATCCCTGCATTGGCCGAGAAAGTTCATCTGGATTTTCCGACGTGGTTTCCTCTTGTCAGTGGTGCAGAACGGAGGGCCTGACAAGGGCAGCTGTCTAGTCCTTCGGATGAGACAAAAAACCGAGGTCCCGTGTATATATTGGAATGCACGTAAAAGATCCCTTGGCAGTTGGAATTCGATATAAGAGTAAGCGATACTGCCGCTACACGGGCAAAATTTCCCTCATAGCACACTGTATGGCGTATGCCCGTCTTCATTAGCCCAGTGTAGGAGCAGAACAGTAGGACGTTAAACCCCATTTCATTTCATTTTTTCCTTATACCCTAAGGACGGCAACTATTGATGTTGGTGCACGCCCCCCTTCTCCAACCCCCTGCGCGTTCGGCAGTGCCACACCCACTATTTGTTGATATTTTGTCTGTAAATGATATACATGTTGCAATTATTAAAGATACATTATGGGAAATTCGGTAACGAGTTGGCAGTTCTCACTATAATAGTTAAAAACTAGATTATGTAAAGGCAATTTGGTGAAAATTTCATTCAAATTGATCCACTATGAACCGAGAACTAAGCGACTGAAATTCCCATAAGCCTCGGTCATCATTACTAAAGTCAGTACGATAAACAGCATAGTCTCGATTATCCATTTAATCGTTTAATAGAGAAGGAAAGATATGCAGTAAATCGGCTTACAATCCACAAAAGATCGCAGGCTAGCGCAGCCATCTAAAGTTAATTATGGCCTGGATAGGTTTATTAATGTCTAATTAATAATTTAGATAACATTTCAGTCCTAAAGAAAGACCTGAAATAGGCAGATTTAGCTCTTGCATAATGCATGTTTAACTGATTCGGATCCAATTCGGAATGATCCAGCATAGGTTTGTACCTATATATATTGGTCCATGTCCAACCCCGAGGCGCACAAGTTTTGTGTTTTTTGTCTACAGGCTGGAATTCTAAACGGATCATCTTGGAACTTGCCATATTCATTCCTTATACTATAAGGATAGCAATTATTTATTTTGGTGCATGTTTTGACCCCCCCAGGGTTGTAGTACCACATCTTGTTAGTTTTTATGTAAATACGCTACAGGTTACAATAATTAACATATTTTGTTCAAATTGAGCATATCAATAATTTCAATAACAAAGTGGTAACTATTTATATTGTTTCATATCCAACCCACAGGGGCAGAGCCACGCCCAATTTTGTATTTATCGTCTACAGACTGCAATTCTAAATGGATCATCTTGAACTTTGCATATTTATTCTTTATACCGTAAAGACATTTGGTGCATATTTATTCTTTATACCGTAAAGACATTTGGTGCATGTCCCGACCCCCTGGGGCAGTGTCACACCCACGTTTTTGTTAATATTTTGTCTGTAAATTTGGCAAAACAAACCCAACTGGTAGCCTTCTTTTCCTCTTGTCATATTACAGCCATTTCATATTTCATTCTCTTCGTTTCAAAAAGTACCCCCCCCCCCCGTTGGGGTGTAGGGGGTGATAAGAATATACCCTTCGTATGTCCTGCGTGTCGTAAAAGGCGACTAAAAGGATCCCTGTAATGGGGCAACGTGTTTGCTGTGCGTTGCGAGCCGTGTCGCTGGAGAGTGGAATCCTGGTAATTGAGTGGGGATTTGGCTTGCGAGCCCTTTCTCTGCAACACATTGCTTTGGCCCATGGTTCACCTAGACGGGAGGTCCGAGTGGCCCACTCTGATCAATCGGCTTTGGTCGTTTTAGCTTTGTAGAATGTACCCTTTTCCAATTTAATGCTCTGTTGTTTATTTACTCAGCAATTACTACCTTTGTGTCCTTAGTACATTCTACAAAGCGGCGGCTTGGGTCAATCAGGTTGGATTAGTATTTTTACTTTCTGGCTCGAGTATACCCCTCGTCGAGCCCTGAGGCCATGCGCTGGTTATCCGTGCTAGTCCTCCCCTTAGTAGGCAGGGAAGTAACCTGGGGGACGACGAGGGATGAATTTTAAAAAATATTACGTTCATGGATACCCCAATCCCCCCACACCTATCAATGAACGACAAAAGCAGAAACGTCCTAATTCAGAGGACGTTTCTAACATATTTAAAACAAAAATGGCAAAGTCGTGGCCGAGGTTTCTCTTGATTGAGAGCCCCTCTACTGACTTATCCAAAGTCTCACCATTTTTGATAGCTAAGGGCATTGCCGGCTTGGCCGGTGAGCCCAAGGCTATTAAAAAATTGAAAAATGGAACACTCTTGATAGAATGTGTTAAGGAGCAGCATGCTACCATGCTTCTTAAGTCAACAACATTGGCAGACATTCCTATCAAGGTGTCTCCACATAGATCATTAAATTTTAGTAGAGGCGTTATTCGCTGTCGGGATCTTGAAGGCAGCAGTGAGGATGAAATGGTAGAATACCTTTCTTCTCAAGGCGTCCAACAAGGCGTCGAACAAGTTAAAAGAATTAGTGTACGCCGAGGAGATAAGGTGATTCCTACAAGCACCTATATCCTCACTTTTAATCGTCCCGACATACCGAAGTCAATCAAGGCAGGTTATTTAAATATACCTGTTGATTCTTATATTTCCAACCCTCTTCGCTGCTATAAATGTCAGAAATTTGGACACAGCAAGACCGTCTGCAGGGGCAAAGACACCTGCGCTCGTTGTGGTCATGATGGCCACGAGAGCGATGCCTGCCAGACTGAGTTTTTCTGCGTTAATTGCAAGGGTAAGCATTTTGCTTATTCTCGCGAATATCCAATATGGCAGAAAGAGAAAAGAATTCAACAGGTAATGTCTGAACGGAAGATTCCATATTTTGATGCTGGGAAGCAAGTAGAACTTACTTCACTCATTCCCATTGCACCACAAGGGAAATCGTTTTCGAGTGTAGTAAAAGTTTCTACAAAATCTATATCTGTTCAGACAGACATAACCTGGCCATATAAACAGAAAAAACCAAAGACTTTGCCTACATCAGATCATGTACAAGGGGTCTCGAGCTCAACTGAGAGCTCGATTCAATGCACTAACACTCTCCCTGATGGGACTGTGTCCTCCTTGCCTCCATCTGGAGTTATTGTAGCGATTTCCAATACTCCAACCCAAAATGGCAAGAAGGCTCCTCCCTTGCGCTTCTCTAAAGCTGACACTACTGATTCCAGTTCCACTGTGTCAGGGGTGCAGTTTTCGGGTACTCCATCTGCAAAGGAGAACATACTGCATTCAAAAAAATATCAAATTTTTTTAAAATTTCGAGAGAAAGAATCTAAGGGTTCAAAAAACCCTATCACTCTCTTCAATAAATATGGGGATGATCTGATGGACGACATTACTGTAGTGGATGTCCATGTAGACCCACTCAGTAAGCCGCCAAAAATTAAATTTCCCTGACAATGGTAAATTCCATTATTCAATGGAATTGTCGTGGTTTAAAACCAAATTTTAATGAAGTTCAATTATTAGTTCAAAAGTACAATCCTTTAGCTATTTGTTTACAGGAAACTTTCTCAAAGAATTCTGACACTTTATCTTTTAGACCCCCCCTGGGGTGTAGGGGGTGATAAGAATATACCCTTCGTATTTCCTGCGTGTCGTAAGAGGCGACTAAAAGGATCCCTGTAATGGGGCAACGTGTTTGCCGTGCGTTGCGACCCGTGTCGGTGGAGAGTGGAATCCTGGTAATTGAGTGGGGATTTGGCTTGCGAGCCCTTTCTCTGCAACACATTGCTTCGGCCCACAATTCACCTAGACGGGAGGTCAGAGTGGCCCACTCTGATCAATCGGCTTTGGTCGTGTTTAGCTGACGAGTAGGCGCATCTTTTCCACTATTCTGTAATGTATTTGTTGCAGATCTACCTTTGTGTCCTACGTGCCTACTCTAAAGCAGCGGCTTGGGTCAACTAGGTAGAGTAAAAATATTTAATCTTTACTTTGTCTAGGTATATCCCTGTCTGTCCTCGTGGGGCGCATGCGCTGGATATCCGCGCAGTAGCCTGCATTGATATTGTGACCCTTTGGTGGTTGGAGAGCAGGCAGGGATGAATCTTTTAATTTACTCAAATGGCTTCTCAAACCAAGAAGACTCGTACTACCAAACGTATGTCGACCGAGGATTTAGAACCATTACCAATAAAAACTTCCCGAACCTGGCCTAGATTTCTGGTCATACAAAGTACTAACGATATCAATCTTAGTAAAACATCTCCTTTTTTGATTGCTAAAGGTCTTGCTGGCTTGGCTGGTGAGCCCAAAAGCGTCAAGAAAATGAGAAATGGTACTTTGTTAGTGGAATGTGCTAAAGAATCACATGCTACTTCATTATTAAAATCAAAGACTTTAGCCAACATTCCTATCAAAGTTGCACCGCATAA